TGTACAATAATTGAGATACCGAACTTATTCCATTTGGCTGTTCCACACTGTATATAGGTATATTATAAGTGTGATATAAACTACAGTAGATCAACATTATTAAGGTGTTTATAATCAATTTGACAAATCTACAGTGCCTGTAATTTAAATAGCGTATGCGCGAGTTTCATATTATCTTTTTTCTCTAATACCAATTCGTTTATTTAAATTTTTTTAAATTTATTTCTTTGTTTATAACATTCTACACCAGTCACAAAAATTCAAGGTTAAAAAAATCCTAAATTTTGAAGACAATTTCAAAGAGAAATTTGGTCGTAGAGCAACAAAAAGAGAGCGATTTGAAACTTGAATTTTCTTGTTTCTGGATCTGAAAATCAAAATTTTGTATCATTGACCACCTTTGAGAAATCATAAGAAAACTAGGGAAAAAATTTTCCCATGAATTTCGGAGAAAAGTGAAATTTTTGTGAGAAATCGCCCAAATATGAGTTAAAACTGATTTTTTCCAAAATTTTGCTCAAATATATCATCTTCATAGTATTTTGAGCTGAAAATTGACCCATGACCTCGATATTTCTCAGAAAATCTACTATTTGAGTGACAAAATTTAGGAAAAAATCAGTGTTGATCCATATTTGGGCGTTTTCATCCAAAAAATTTACTTTTCTCCTAAATCATCAGCAAATCAAGAATTTTGACTACAGGATCGTGTTCAGTGGATAAAATTCCTTAGGAAATGATATGTCAGTCTCTTGGACTTTTTTTATGTACCTGTGGAATGTATGTCATAATAACTGACTACACGAATGTATCCTTATTACACATGTACATACAAAGAAACTGAAAAAGCTTTTGTTGACATTGTTTGTTTGAACGCCCAAAAGCACCATGTCTAAATAACCCGGTTTATTAGTTAACGTTGCTAGATGCCTATCATTGTAAAACAATCTGTAAACTGCTTTGTGGAGCTCAGTCTTGTTTGTCTTTCAAAATTTCGAGGTTCATTGTTACTTGAGAGCAGTTTAAATATACAGAGTGTTTTTAAGCCTTCGTGACAACTTTAGGCGATTCCTTATTAAAGTTTTAGAGAATTTAATCCTAGGCATCTTTTCAAATTACAGGGTGATTCACAAATGGCGACCAAAAGTGAATTTTAAGGGGGGTCTTTCCTTATAAAGTTTTTATCTAGGAAGCTTCGTTAAAAAGATACAGGGTGCTAAACTTCAAAAAATATTTTTAATTTTTTTTCACCCTGTATAAGTAATATAATAAATTTCGGTTTGTCCAAAATAACTCAAAAACCATTACAGATACAAAGTTGCTATCAGATAACCAAAAATACACCCCACAAATAAAGGAATTTTCTTAAAAAACGATATCTATAATACTATTTTCGAGAAAATCACAATTCTCTAAAATCTCTAAGAGTACCATTTTTATTAAATAATCATATAAATGGATTTTAAATTGGACCGAAGTGGATATTAATTAAAAAACATGTACCTAGTTGTTCATACAACCAAAAATTCAATACCACAAATTGAAGAACATCCATTAAAAACTAAACTGTTTTCAGTGTGATTATCATATTAGCTGGTTTGGAGGGTATTTTGCATGAGTCACCTTTTCAAGATAAAACAAGTTTATGAGAACAAACTGCTTAATACTGGTAAAAGATGTTTAATACGCCGATATTATGTTTAGTTCATTATACCTAATTACCTATGTAGATTAATTAAGTTTACAACAAAAACAGAATATATTAATTCACTTCTTTGATTTTCAATTTAACAAAACTAGCTACTTTTTTATGTATAAGAAACAAATTCCTACGCTTAAAACTTATATAAATTGGCAGAATTATTTTCCAGTACATTTCAAAAACTTTAAATGGCTGAGACATGGTTATTTGGCCTCAAAAGAAGCTGGTTCTCAATGCAACTCTAGTGAAAGTGAAAAGTTTTATATCTACTGCAACATTATCAAGTTAAACATTTTACTAGAGTCATAATCATAATCAATATTATGCTCTAAATGTACCTATATAAAGTATGGCCCATTAAGAACAAAGACATCCCTCTGATTTTTTTAATTAAAAATGTACCTACTCTCAATTTTTTGTTGGGAGGCAAAATTTGAATTAATTTCTTTATTGGAGATAATTGTATCTATTAATGATGATTCAGTTAATAATCTAAGACTTGCTGGCATTTTTTGAGAATGTTACGTAAAGCATTTTTTATTAAAAAATTGGGTGTTTTTCAAAGATTGTAAATTTGTTATACCTAGAAACGGAACATTACAGTAGATTCTAATTTTTACATCGTTCAAATTTTTGACATTCTGATACCAGTTACAGTCTCGACGTATTTTAAAGCTTTTGTACGAAGATAGGAACATAGAAATAGGACCCAATGTATTTTTACTTTTTTTAGCAGAATTCTTAACAATCAAATGAAATCATGACATGCATACATTTATAGGCATTTCTCACTGAAGTTTTTAATGCTTAAAGATTACAATCAACAGTTCATTCCAGTTAAATGTCTTCAACTGTTGTGCAATTGTTACTATTCGCGACGAGCCGAAAGCAAAGCAACCACAGATCTAACGGTTTATCTTTTACAGGTACTCGTACTACAATCCCAATAATTTACATCACAGTATTTAGGCATTACATACGTTCCGAAAACCACACAAAAAACAATTAAACGCTTTGATTATTTTATAAAGCGTTTACCCAATCGCTTAACTAATCCTTAATTGCCCATGTCCACAATCACCGAAAGTGGTGTCATTGATGTTTAAGTAAATTTATAGCTATTTCATGCTTGTTGATATATTAAAAGCAAAGCACAGGACACCACGCCGGTTAAATGTGTGCACAAAAATTTGGTTTGTATTTTGACAGACAATTTTTGGGACGTGTTGAGGCAAGGGTCAACATCCTCAATTAAAAAAGCTCGTATGATGGGGCTCACCTTGCTTTGTAACCAGAGTTATTCGAGAAAATATCCAATGGCACTAGCACAATTACATATCACTTTAAAACACTGAACAAGCACGAGAAACCACGAGCCGGACGACGGCAGCTCACTCTGACAACGTTCGAAGGCAGCGCTGGATAACGAATGAAGAAAGAAGAAAGCGCTAGCGGGTTCGCGATCACGTGACTGAGTTCTTGAAGGAGAGATGAGGGTCCGTCGACCGGACATCCTCTCGGCGGTGCGTCGAATTGTAAGGGGTGATGTTGCATTGTTGTCCGAGGATAACCTGACTCGTGCAATTGTTGACGTAGTTTTCTGGTTCACTTTTGCGTATTATTGGGCGGGTAAATTCTCGGGTTGGGGTTGGCGTCGCTTTTAACTCGTTTGATTCGGGCACTGTAGATGGCGCACTCGGTTTTCAAAGTTTAAGATCTGACGACTGGGAAAATGACGAACTGATTGTGTAAATAAATATAAAACACTTTGAAATTTCATTCTCTCTATTGAAAATGTCGTAAATATGTATGTTTTTCTCATAATGTCATTATCTGAAACCTGGAACGTTATCGATTATTTTCCGTACCATTGCCGTACACAACAAGCAAGGGGTTCTCATATTTTAAACTTTAACGGCATAAGGTAATTATAAAAATAAACGTGTAATATTTTGCGAAAGGTTTCTTGAAATTAAATATTTATTATAGAGTAAAACTCTGAAAAATGGATACAATTTCGCCTACCCCCTGATATCAAGGGTGCTGGTCACGAATTTGTAGTTATTTTTATGTGATCGAACTTAGTTTTTGAGAAACAAGTTGACAGGATGTCAAAATCATAAAGACATAAATGTTATTAATAACTCTTAAACCCTGTGTTTCTTAAGAAATATAATTGATATTTTTTACTGTATTTTTACCATATGCTGATACATCTTTGGTTGGTATAATTTAATTCAAAAACAAGGGTGGTAGTACCTTCAGTTTTTCCTGGACACACTTATGACAATGACTATGAATCCAGAAAGATTTTGCAACTAATGTATTTTATATAATTTGAGGTATGTGAATAAATTAATATGCTTGATATTGATAAATGTGACATAGTTAGACACAACAAAAAATTATAATTGTAGCACAGGCAGGCTTTAAGTGGAAAATGCCATTTTTCTATTTGAAAAGGTTAAGAAAATTATATTACAACGTATATACTTCAGAGAAGCAGAGTAAACATCTTAAAAGAAATAAATGTTTTATGCACAAAGTTTTGGTACTTCTGATATTTGACCTTCATTTGATTTTTGTTAATGATTAATTCAAGAGTAACTGCAACGGTCAATCAAAGAATATAATTTTATGTTCATTATAATATTATGTCCCTGAATTTTATGTTACATATTATCTCTGTTATCGTTCCACAGACTACGCCTATGGATAACTAATTTAAAATCTATATCGAAAGTAGGCAACCCACTATACACACTTGCATATATGTGTATATAACCTGACAATGTAGCCACACCATGTTATTGATTATAAAATGAATTAATTTAGAAGGAATTTGGAGTACCTATTTATTGTGAATATCAATTATTCGCAAATACATGATTTAAATAAAGAAAACTATGAAGTGATTATAAAAAGAAATTAATATAAAACAAGAGTCTATTGTACCTATCTTCATACTGCGCTGCAACAATATGTAATAAAGATTATAAATAAATTATATCTAATCCGTCCGTATTTTACACAAATTTTTCCATTATTATAGAAGTTTATGAAAGATAATTCAAGGACATAGTAAAAGTTATTATATTGAATTTGGCGGGTGAACTGCAAAAATTTAAAAAATTAAAAAACCCCAAACACGACTGTTTTGATTTTTAGGTTAAGATTCTTTTGACAAACCTTGTGTAGCCCGTAAATTGTCACAAATCCAAGTAAGTATTGTTTCATTTACCGTCCAACGTAATTCAACCATGGGTCAAAGTCCCACGCGATAATTAAAATTAAAACCATATCATCATACACCGCACACAGCGTCGAACCGTTAACAAAATGGCGCTATCGATAAACTAACTTAATGTACACTGCCGTTTTATACATGTAGTTTATAGTGTAATATATAATGAAAGATATAATTTTAGCTAGTTTATCTGTCCTCGCATCGATCGTTCTTGTGATACTGTTCGCATTGCTAGGTAATAGTGCGTTTGCGAAGATTGTGAAATAGTATGGGGGGTTAATGTCACTTTTCTTTGTTACAGGTTGGTTCATCGTTTGGAAACTAATATTAAGCCGATTCAGATTCATCAGAGAACTGATAAAGAGCGCGGGGGACAGCACCATCACTGAACTGAAGACTACCAGAAATAAGGTTAAAAAAACCCGAAAAGACTGACCTAACCACTAAAATGAACATCCGCTGCGCGAAGCCCGAAGACCTCATGAACATGCAGCACTGCAACCTGCTGTGCCTGCCCGAGAACTACCAGATGAAATATTACTTCTATCACGGCTTGAGTTGGCCCCAACTGAGTTACGTGGCGGAAGACGAGAAAGGTAACATTGTGGGCTACGTCCTCGCTAAAATGGAGGAGGACCAGGAAGACTTAAAGCACGGTCATATTACTTCATTAGCTGTTAAGAGATCGCACCGCAGGCTCGGTCTGGCCCAGAAACTGATGGATCAAGCCTCCGAGGCGATGGTGGAGTGTTTCGACGCTAAGTACGTGTCTCTGCACGTAAGGAAGAGCAACCGAGCCGCTTTAAATCTGTACAAGAACTCTCTGAAGTTTGAAACTGTCGAGATCGAGCCGAAGTATTACGCCGACGGAGAGGATGCATATTCGATGAGGAGAGACCTGTCCGAGTTTTCGAGGAAAATCAAGACGAAGCCCGACGAAAAGAATGAGGAGTGACGAGGTACACGTTATTTTTCCGTTTGTATTTAACGATTGCATAAATTATTTGTTATATTTCTGTTTTATTAAGGGAATTAAATATACTAATAGACTCGTGCAGTTCTCTGTATAAAGTAGTTGAATCACTTGACACTAGCGCTGGTTTTTGTAACGATTATTTACTTAATTACAGCGAAAATGTTATAAACATAAAAATATGTAAGATGTATCGCCATTTAGGGGTAATTCCAAATATAATTTTTAAATAAATTCGAAATATTTTTAATTTGTCCCGTCACATTACTTAATTTTGTTTTAGATTGGTTTTTTTATTCAAAAACTCTTCGTAATAATTTAAATTTTTTACGTTGATCTTAATTTCTTTACCACAAAATTTGAAACGAGTGAAATTTTATACAGGGTGTTACAAATAAGGCAGTAATTCCTTGGGAAGGACGTAGACCTGGTAGAAAAGGTTATAAAAAAAGTGTTTCTAATATCTGCACAATTGTACAATTCACGTATTTGCAATACATGATTACAGTAGTGGTGCACACCCTGTATATATACCTAAATTTTGTAGTGAAATTTTATACAAGGTGTCATAGAGCTGGTGTAGTTAAAAGAAGTTCATAGTATGTGCCTAAAAACTTTCCGTTCTCTGATACAGGGTGTCAAATATACACCTGAACTTTGTTTTATAACTTTACAAAGTTGTATTTATTTGATTTGCATAAAATTTTGATATTCAAACTCATGTTTGCAATGAAAAAAGCTTGTGGAGGACATGGGTTATCTGTTACTAAAAAAAAAGTCGTTTTTTGCAATAACAGTACTATTATCTGAAAGAAAATGTCAACGTAACTGTAAAGGACTTGCCCCATTTTCGATAGGAGTAACCATTTTCAAAATAATTGACAAACTTATAAAAAAACTACAAAAAATATTCAAATTTCATAGGACTTTTGTAAAAATTATAATGGATTGTAAAAGAATTAACAATGATGTTAAAGATGTTCAAATTGTTTCTCTTGCTTCAACTTTATCGCTTGACTGATTTGAAGATTCCTAGTTTTTGTTGAATCCTGATCACAAATCTAGAAAAATAGCCCAATTGAATGGGTTTTTTGGTTTTTCAAGATAACTGAAAAAGGGTAAGAGCTAGAAAAAAAAGTTTATTATAAAACATGAAGAGCATAAAATTCCACATAAAAATGGTCTGTTGACTTTTTCTTGTACTATTAAAATTAACAGAATTAGGGTGGCCAGAAGTTAAGTGATGAATTCAGAAATTTAAAAAATCATAAACAGAAAAATGAATGACATTTTTTTTTAATTTTTAAGTGTAAGTTATAACAATTTCAATTTTTTAATTGTTAATTTTTGTAATTTAACACTAAAACAATTTTTTTCTATGTCGTTTGATTGATTACACAGCTACACAAAAAAAAGTCTGTACTTTTCATCCGACATATGCTATTCATAGTATTTTTGCCTCCTGATTACGAATTCGGTGTCAGAATTGAGCTATCACATCACAGAAATTTCCTAACCTCAAAAAAACAGGTCAAAAATAGCAAAAATATACGAAAATGTGCTAGGAAAATTTTTTTTGCTACATTCAACGAATTTTCAAAAAATAACAGATTCGCGTCAAATTTGGTGTACGGAGGTTTTCGGGGTCGCTGATTACGGATCCGAGATCAATTATGCAAAATTCAAGATGGCGGATCCAAGATGGCCGACCAAATTTTCAAAAAATAACATATTCGCGCCAAATTTGGTATACGGGGGTTTTCGGGGTCGCTGATTACGAATTTGAGGTCACGTTCGGCGAGGTCTTAACCATATAAGTGAACATTTGAATATAGAAAAAAAATTTTGTTCGTACATATTTTTCCTAGCACTTTTTCGTGAAATTTTTGCTATTTTTGACCTGTTTTTGTGATTTAAATATTAGTCAGGCATAAACTGGTGTTTATTTATCCAAGATCTTAGCCAATTTCAACTACCTTGAATTGGTCAATTAGGTTGGATAGATGCCATGTAAATAACAACAAAAAAAGTGTATGCAAAAAACAAATTAATAGTAATTAATTTTTTACTACTATTTTGCCTTCGATCTAAGTACTTGTTGACATTTTTTAACATAAAAAAGTAAATTTTAACTAGAAATATTTCAAATTGTGTTTAATATTTAAAGCACAAATGGCTTTACATGAATTAGTCCATCAAGTTAATAATTAATAGCAAAATGGCAATTATTATTAAGAAAGTGTTATGACGTTAATTCATTTTTGTATTATATATTTCTAATAATCATATCGTCCATGAATTTGAGAGGTACTGGAAAAAATATCTACATAGCCATGACAGAAACAATTGACGGTTGCCTATTCTAGAATTCGTCTGTCTATGTATATGACATTTGACATCATTTCATTCTTCATTTATTATTTTTTAATTAAAATATGTTTAAAAAGTGGTCATGGTGATGGTATTTTTTGGTTCATTTGCGACGACTGCGAATTACTGGGACTTACAGGTATAATAAGGTTATGAACAGTGTTAATAAAAAATGCACGCATAGAGATTTAGTATTAATAATTTTATTTGAATTTGAAAAATACAATTTAGGATTTTAGCAATTGTGTTTACCTACTAACTTAAATCTAGATCTAAATCATGTACAGTTGTAATAGTTTGGTCATTTGCTACTTAAAACATAATATGTACAACGTGTTCAATTATATATTCGAATAAAATTACAATACTCTTTAGGGCCCAATACAGTAATAAGTATGTCGAATGTTGTTTTCTTCTAGCTAACATGGAATTCTATTTTAAAAATCCAATAACGTAGAACTACCAAGAGTACCATGTATAACATTTTTTGTTTAATTTTCTACATCACATGTAGAGGTTACAAGTAGGTATAACATTGAGATTTTATCAAGAAAACACTGCTTGCGTAATTAGTTGCATTTTCTTAATCTAAAGGTATAACATTTTTGAGTAATTAGTAGGTTTTATACAACGTCGAGATACAAATGGAAACCAAACAAGCAGTGTGAAGACTGATGTCACACCTATGAATATTTAGAACAGTGTTACATAAAAATATTTTTGTGGCGGAATACTGTGTTTATATAACCCACCAAAAAGCGCCAAATAATAGATAATATCCCCTTATTAAGTATTTTTAACGCTGCCGGATTTTTCTCAAAAAAAAATCATATTTAGTCTCGCTTTGTTTCTCTAACGTTAATATATTTTACGTCAAAAAATTTATCATTGATAAAGTTAGCCTTAATAGTAAGATTTTATTTCAAGATTCAAAAGAACTTATGATCGATGATAGTAAGAACGCTAATTAAATACTGTACACATTACTTTTTGTTATCATAGAAACCGCTTGAAGTTATTTCGAGAGAAATCTAGCAGCCTTTCTACGTACAATGCTATGAAGATATCTCGATTTTTAAATATATAGATGCAACAACGCCTAGCAAATATAAATTTTATTTGTGACTATCTCTTTTTGAAAAGCAAATACATGTTTATGTTTAAACGCTACAGTACAATATCAAACGTTAATTTTTTTCACGTTTATCACAACAATGCACAAATATAATGGAAGCGAAAAAGTCCAAGTCCGAAGAACTATTTTACGGCTAAACATTTAAAGTTTTTGTTCAATGTAAGTATAATAAAGAGAAACAAACATCGTATAAAACATTTTTGGCATTTTACTAAAACTGTTCTGTCGAAGGTAACCAGTCCCTTTTTCCTTCAGTTTATACGATATTTGTTTTACATTTTAGACGAAAAACAATTTTTAAATAATGTTTCAGTAAATAAGATTTACGGAAATGTATATATAAAGCCTAAACTTTCACGTAATAACAAATATATAACTTGAATATATAAATATGTTTAAATGAAATAGTACAGGTGAGTATAAGTACACGAAGAACAAAATAAAGATGAAACACTCTACTCTACGCACCATCCTTATCACAAAAGAAAAATCTGATTGCGACTGTGGCAACATAACTACCTATACGTGCTAATTGTCAACTTTAGTGTGGCTAAAGGAACAATTTTTACCAAATCCCTGCATTGATGATTGCAAACATATGAAAATATTGTTATTTTATAGAAAAATGGAAAATAGGAAGACAGATTTTTATTATATTTTATATTGTTACCTAATTGTTCTTTCAATCACAAGCTCAGAATTGTCATTTTTTTGTTGGTTGTCAGGATTTTCCAAACACTGGTAAGGTAAAAATTAGACCTTAGGAAAGTCATTTGGAAATTTTGGAAACAAGTTTTCATAAAGAACGTAATATTTCCAATGGCTGTGGTTTTGGTACCTAAATATGATGCTTTCGATTGGCTTAGGTAGTTATATTGCCAATAGTAATAAATAGAAGACATACAAATGAATTTAAAAAAATCAACATATTTCACTTTAAATAGATGTGCTCATCCCATGATAGACGACCATACAGAACCAAAAACTGTAACTGGATTTCCCTGTATTTTGTTATCACATTTGGCGGTACAGTATCTTTAATTTTACGAAGGTACTTCAATGAAAACAAATCGCTTCCAAAATCTGTACAACAAAATGAATATAAATTATTTTCAATGTATTTCGATTGCATGTCTATCATGAGATGACGATTACTTTGCAAGCGTCAGTTTCTTCAGCGTTTTCGTAACTTTGTGATGATAATTACATAAAATTGTCGAGAGTAGTTTTATGTAATTAAACATTTTTCTGATTTAGAATTTGGCATCGTCCACTTCTGCAAATACTCAATATTAAATATCTACGACTATATACATGTTTATCTTTGTTTTGCTTTAAACTAAAAAGACATGCTAGTTCGCAATGTTAACCCCAAGCTCGCATCGACGTCTTTTAGTTTTAGAAAATCACCTGGATTTCCTAGATGAAATAGAAAATTCGCATTATTTTGAAAAATAAACACTTCCAGTCTTATATATATGCCTCAAAATCGTTGCCTATATTTTTCCATTTATTTTCTCCGCAAGAATTTTTTATTTCATCAGACCTTTTCGCATCTAAAATCTAAATCTGTGTCTTTATTATGTGTCTTGGTATTATATATTCAATATTTATTGCTAGAAAATTTATTTGTCGCACGATGTTTATCATTTAAAAATAAAAACTGCTCCACATTTCGCCTAAATATACAGAGGCGCAAAATTTTCATGACATTGTATTCTTTCTCTCT